TAGATGATGTCGATTTTCAAAAGAAATCAGAACATGTATATTATTTTGTATATTTTTCATTTTACTGATTTTATGGAAAGCACTGTTCATTAAAATGTTGTATCCAATGTTATAGGGCTTGTTTCTCTCTACAATTTCCTGTCTCACAATGAACATGATGATTTTATTGAAAGCACTGTTCATTAAAATGTTGTATCCTATGTTATAGGGCTTGTTTCTCTCTACAATTTCCTGTCTCACAATGTACCGTTTGTGTCCAGGAAGGGTTCATATTTTCATAGTTGTCGATTTTCGAAAGAAATCAGTACATTTATTTTATTTCGTATATTTTTCATTTTATTGATTTTATGGAAAGCACTGTTCATTAAAATGTTGTATCTGGTTGTATCCTATATTATAGGGCTTGTCTCTCTATACTTTCCTGTTTCACAATGTATCGTTTGTGTCCGGGAAGGGTTCATAGTTTCATAGTTGTCGATTTTCGAAAGAAATCAGTACATGTATATAAGGGCGAACATATTATTATAATTTCCATTAGTTGGAAATTATAATAATATGTTCGCTGTTCGCCCTTATTTCGTAACTAAACCAGATTATATTTTTGTCATTCAATTACTTACTATACTCTCACCGCTCACCTCCAAAGTAACACGCAACACTAGCGCCCATAGCTAGCGCCAGGCGCAGCATATTTACGGCAAATCCGCCATTAAGTCCGATTTACAGCGGGATTAAACGTCGTTTACTGTGAGGACACGACGCGGAAAGGTGTAAACTTTAAACGCGACATTATTTAGATTTTAAACGGGCGTATGTCGCGCTGACACCTCTGTATAATTGCCCTGCGGGGACGGATTAAATGAACCGCAAAATGGCGCCTGTCCCGATAATGTACAGGGATTTTAGAGATACTTTAGTGGCCATACCTGGGATTTTTTCTAGGTTCTTTTCCTTTAAATTTAATATTTTTTGACTAAAAATGAGAAAAATTATAAACCGATTTTTTTGAATAACACAACAAACCAGTAGCGTAGCGTAGTCTCCGCTGCACCCACAACGGCGGGGGGGCCTCGTGATTTTGGGGGCCCCGCTTTATTTGTTTGAATTCTCTATTTTTACATTTTATTTGTTCCTATTAATTTATTTTAATTTGAATCATATTTTTATTAGAAAAATTCTATTTATGTTTATTTATTTTTATTATTTAGTTTTCTTTTAGTACCTAAGTTTTGTTTTATGTTGATTTATTTTGTAATGTTTTATTTTTTATGTTCCTTTATTATTATTTTTTCTTATGTGGAAAACGTTAAAGTTTTGTCTCTAGTGTTTTTTTTATTTTAATATAAGGGCCCCAAAAAAATCTTGCGGGGGGGCCTCACATTTGAAGTTACGCTACTGCAACAAACTTGTATGTTTTTAGTCCATCTGAAAGATCTTTTTTCTAATTACAAGTACTATACCGGGTGCGTCTTAAAAGTGGCTCACCCCCTATAACTTTTTTATTTTTTCAGATAAAAAAACGAGATTTGGTATGTTAGTATATGACATATTTTTTTTAATCAAGGAGCCTGGGAAAAATAGATTTGATCGTCTAATGTTTTTAGTGTATTGTCCTGGCCGATTAAAAGACGCCCAAATCGTATGTTTAATCATATCTCAATTTTTTCAAATGGAATAACGAGGGGGGCTCATTAGCATATTTAAACAAAGAATTTTTTACGAACAATTTGGTACCACACACTTGGTATTTCGAGTCAAATTGTCGTTATGAATCACGTGTTGCAATTTCAAATAAACCATATTCGAAAATGTCAAATGTTGACATATGATATATCATTCTATTCAAAATACCTAGGGTGCCATTTAAAAATCAAAAGTTGTAGTCATTTCCGGTGAAACAGGAAGTGACCGAAAACAATTGAATACGTCAATCTATCGTAATTTATGTCATATACTTACATACCAAATTTCGTTTTTTTATCTGATAAAATAAAAAAGTTATAGGGGTGAGCCAGTTGTATTCATTAAACTAAAATAACACAAAAACTGTTCCCACAAATATATGCAAACTATACAGATTGTTAACTGGACGGTTACTTATTAAGGAACAGAATGGCAACTCTGCCTACATTCCAAATGAGTACTCAGCTAAGCTGCCGACTCGCGGGCGGAGGTTGCCATATTTCAACCATAAAGCTGTTGCCGCAAGTAATAAACAAATTAACAATCTGTATACAGGGTGAGTCTTAAATAAGTGCAAATATTTTCGGGGCTGTAATAAATCTCGACAAAAGAAATATATTTTCGCTTTGCTGTTTTCCAAATTAGGACAAAATAACCCAGTTATTTTATTTTGAAAATTTAAAAAAATATATTTTATAAACACTGTTTTTTTTTGTTTTTCTTTCCTCTAAATTATTTTCATCTACTACCTATGTTGCTATATTATCAGGTTATTGTGTTTTTCATGTTTTTTAACTGTAAAATAATTTATCACGAATAACATCTCATAGACGTGGTTTCTGGTGTCAAAATATACCACCCCAAATATATTTGCCCTTATTTAAGACTGACCCTGTATAATTTATGTAATAAGAAGTTCCTTTCAATATACGCGATTTTCAAATTTACATGGAGTTTTCAAGCAACATAACCCAAATGTATTTCAAAACTTATGTTCGTTTAATGAATATTTTAGCTCAAAAAGTAAAAAATAAAACTTTTTAAAAATGACCCGAAATAAAACACTGTATATTTCCCGCTTACGGTGACTTAAATTGCCCAACCATGTATATAGGTACCAATGGTACCTATAGGTATACTTTACGTCCACGATTTCTGTTGACACGCAGTTAGGAGAAAACCAAATCAAGACCGGTCGTACTTTAGAAGCTCAGTCACATGTGAAGAAACGTTAGAAGACATTCGACTTTTGTCCGGAGCTTTTTCGAAAAGGGATTGTGTTTCATTTGGCTTTGTTATCCACCAACATGAAGTTATTAAATGCCGATGCGTGGGCTGCAAGTTGGTGAAGAAAAAACGACGGCGCGGGTGTAAGAATTTATTCCTTCTAGTTTTTCAACTATAGGTTTAGATCAGATCGAAAATCTATTGTGTACTGTATTTTTAATTCCTTTATCTATAACCGTTTAGTTATAACGTTTTTACATCACTATTTTTTTAGTACTTCAGTTACGTTATGAGATTCATAACACAACTAGTGGTGTTATGAATCTATAACACAACTAGTTTTTATAATAATGAAAAACAATTACGAACATCTAAATATATTAATTTTTGATACAAATTCCTGCTATAGTCTATAAAATGAATAACTTTGAATTTTGACCATTATTTTTTACCAACATGGCAAATATCAAATCCCTCTGTCCAAAAAGTTACTGATATTCTTTAAAATGAGTGCCTGAACGAATCAGATAGGTAACTCTTTTTACTTTCATGAAATAGAAAAGGAAAATAATAAAACAAGTGACAGTTCTTCCTCTTCTTGCAAAAATCGACGCGAAATGTCATAATTGACAAAAGTAAAATGTCATCAGCTTTTGACATTCTAAATATCAGCTCAATGCCGTCTCTAATAGACAGCCTCGGAGCGAGATTTATGACGTCACGCTAGTTAGATACCACGGATTAATAAATATGTTGTAGAATCCATGGAAAACATAATTATTCCTCGTATTTTTGGTTTGTATTTTAAAAATGATATAGTTTACATGAAATATACATAATATACAGTTAATAAATACAATATATATATATACCTATTTATAGTAATAAATACTTTGGCAAATAAACTATGAACCATACAAATGCAGTAAATGTTTTACAATATACAAATAATGAATAGGTACATAAGATAATGGGTAAAATGTAAAATATATTTTAAATTTTGGGATTTGAAAATCGATCCAATTTAACAAAAAACATTCAATATCTACTAATAGTGATATATTATTATTTGCATTTACAAAATTTATATGTATATTTTGAAAGCATCAATGTTTGAAAAATTTATATTTGCAAATAATACAATATCATAGAAAAAAAGGCGTCAGCGATGGCTATGAAATAAAGATCGCTGTCATTTTATATGTAAAATTATTCTAAAATTTTTGATTTTCTTGGGATTTAGATTCGGGAAAAACGGTGATTAAGTTTTCATTATTTTTTTTGGTTTAAAAAAAAAACGTTATAGCTAACGTTTATAGCCTTCATCAGTGTTGTGTCATATGAAAAAAATAGTGTCGAATATAATCCATAAAATTACATATACGAGGAATAATTATGTTTTCCATGTATTCTACAACATATTTATTAATCCGTAGTATCCAACTAGCGTGACGTCATAAAATTCGCTCCGTGGCTGTTCTATTAGAGACGGCATTGCTTCAGAATGGCCGCAAGTTGCTAACTTAATAAAATTAACACTAGGAAAGCCCGCGGGAACTGTCAAATTCAAAGTTAATCGTTTCACAGACTATACTAACTATTATAAATATTAATAACACATTTTTTACAGTTCTTCAAAACAATTCCTGCTGCTGATGATCACGATTAATTATTAATTATCATTGATTGATTTAATAGGCTGGTAGGACTCAGATTTTCTTTTGAGGAAAGCAATGATTTGGGCATATTTACTTATATCGACGTTCTTCTTCAGGGATATTGTGGCTCGCAACATAGAATAAAACGTCCATAGACTTGATGCGCTGAATTTCCGTGCAAGATTTTCAAAATATGCTAAAATTCAACGTCGTCTTCAACGTCGAAAATATTATTTATGATACATTCGCCATTTTGTCAACAACATACAATATAACAAATTACTGTTCATAACTGATCGTAAGTCGACTATCTGTCTAATAGATAAGCTGTGATAATACTGAGTGTTTTTGTAATAATAAAGTGGAATATACCTTGAATGAAATGTATTAATTACTAAATATATATAACAAATAACAAAATAAAACAAGGTATACAAGTGTCATGCATATTTATTTTTATACGATTATAACTTGAATAATACAAGGTTTTTAATAAATAATGTTGAAGAAGTGATTAGTTCTCAATTTCTTCCTCTCGTCTTATATTATTAGCCATCTGAAACAAAAAAAAATTGTCCAAAAAATAGGTCTGCAAACTGTCTGAACTAACACACTGGCTATAACTATGAATTTCATCATTTTTAAAATTTGAGGAGATAAATTAAACATTTTAGAAGATAGAAAATAATAAAAATCACGGAGAAATAAGAAATGAATTGAGTGAAAACCAGCAGTAATGTGATGTAGCTAAAAAGTTTTTACCTCTTTATACTTAGGGATTATTGCTTTTACACTTAACAGAATTATTTGCATCGGTATTAATAAAAAGATATTAATTTTCTTCGTTTTATTGAAATCGCAGGCTGTACCACAACAAATTAATAATACTAATAAGAAAATTGATAGAAATATACAGTTTTTATCCTCTTAACATATAGAAAACTTTGTTTTTATATAGAGACTTTTAAAAAATTACTTCCCATTTCACAAATTTTTTTAATTCACCCGCACCCCCCCGAGAAGGAGAAAAATTTATATATAATATTTAATTATTTTTTCGAAATTTCAGGGATTTTTTTAGGTTCACCCCGAGAAGGGCTGAAAAATATAAATAACTTGTTTATTTTATATTTTTATATTTATTTTATAACTTATTTTATTACTTGTTTATTTTATATTATTTTATAACAAACCAAACTTGTTTTCTTTCAAATTTTAGAGAAACGGTAAAGAGAATAAAAGCTGTTCCCTAGCTTCTAGCCACCCTATCTCGGTTAATTTTTGATTTGAGCAAAAAAACTACAGGAGCCATTTTTATGTAAAATTTGATGCTCTACAACTTTTATTTGAACTTCTTTTTTCTAGCCCTTACCGTTTCTCCGAAATTTCGAAAAAATAATTTTATTTATTTACTTTACTCGTGCTCGGGTGTGAATTTAAAAAAAGATCTATCACAATTCGTTTTTAAATCTTTCAAAGTAAATTATATAAAAAATTCAAGTTTTTACTAAAACTTCCTATTCAAAAATCCAGAAAAATATATTTTTTTTTGAAATAATATTTGTTTGTCTAGAGACGTTCTATCCTTTTTTTAATCTTTCAATATTTAGTGTAAATTTTTGACAAATTTTATGTAAATTTTTAGTAAATGATGTGTAGAGATTGACCTCGCCAAAATTATCATCGATTATTGTTTATCACAATGTATTTTTATTGATAAAATTTCAATATTGTTTATTTTTTTTTTGTCATAAATATTACACTATTTTTTTTTTATATTTTTTAGCCAAAAAATTAATTACTTTATAAAAACAATCAGGAAAAGATCAAATAAAAGCAAAGAGATTCCAATCTGTAATGAAGGAATCGAAAATATATTTTCCTTCCCTTGTGCGACCATTAGCAAAAATTAAACTTGCCGTGAAAATAACATTAGAGGTTTTATTTATTGAATTGCGAATGCTTTTAGCTTTATTGTTATTTATCAAAATTTTTATTTTTTTTACTTAAGAAAAAGTAATTATTAAGAGCATTCAGATGAGTATCAACAAATTTAATTTTGCTAGATAAAAAATAAATTAAAAACCAGAAAATTGCCGTATAATCGAGAAAAAACGGCGTCCAGTTGGCTTGAAAATGACGATCGATGACATTTCCCATATAATTTTACGCCGTTTTTTGCATACACCGCAATGTTTGAAAATAAATCGTCGTCAAGGTGGCTTTTGAAATAAAAATCTCCTTACTGGACGGCTTAGACTGGGTAGACAAAATTGTAAACACATTTTTTTTCAAAAAATAATTTTTACTGAATAGATTTTCGATTATTGATCATAATTTCAAAGGCTACTGTGACGTGTGTTTTTTTCAATTCTACTTATGATAATAATACCGTATGATCGAAAAAAAACAGCGTCCAAATGGCTTGGAAATAAACATCGATGGCATTCCCTATATAATTTTACATATAAAATGAGAGCGATCTTCATTTCACAGCCATCGCTGACGCCGTTTTTTTTTCGATGATACGGTATTACTAATATTCTACAATAATTCTACTAATATTAAAGCGTATAACATAAAATAAATTTGTTCAAATTGTTAAAGAATTATTATTTTTAATTTAAAAATATATTTACCATTTCTTTTAAGATTTTGTTCATCTCGTCATACTGTTCTGAAGTTAGTTTATTGAATTTATAAAACCTTTTTGGATACTCTGAACTCAAAGGTATCCTAGATCCTAAAAAAGAGAAAATTAAGTGTGACAAATTACAAAAAAAAAATCTAGAAATTACCAATAAACCCTACTGGAGCTTTTTCAACTTCCTGTACATTATTCTCTTGAACTGTCTCGTAATTTTCATTAGCCAACTCCGATCTTTTGCCCATACCTCCGAAACAGGAATGCCCATAATTACTACATCCACCTAAATTGAAATTAAACAATAAATCAAATAAATTTTTACATAAAAATAACAAAGAAAGTGTTGGCTTACGTTTAGCCTGTATTATTTGTTGTTTAAACGAAAAAACAATTAATATTAGACACACAAAGCGCGCTCTGTTAGAAGCCATTTGGACACGAAAGCGCTCAACACCATACAAGCCCTTACAAGCTCTAATGAGAATGTTCCTACCCTTGGTGCAAACCCACCCTCTAAGGAGTCAGCGATCTGCGCCATAGGTATGATTATTTTTAATTTTTGATTATAAATAGTACTTACTTTTTGCATAAGTCTGGTGAACTAACACACTGGCTATAACTATGAATTTCATCATTTTTAAAATTTGAGGAGATAAGTTAAACATTTTAGAAGATAGAAAATAATAAAAATCACGGAGAAATAAAAAAAGAATTTAGTGAAAACCAGCAGTAATGTGATGTAGCTAAAAAGTTTTTACCTCTTTATACTTAGGGATTATTGCTTTTACACTTGAGAGAATTATTTGCATCGGTATTAATAAAAAGATATTAATTTTCTTCGTTTTATTGAAATCGCAGGCTGTACCACAACAAATTAATAATACCAATAAGAAAATTGATAGAAATATACCGTTTTTATCCTCTTAACATATAGAAAACTTTGTTTTTATATACAGACTTTTCAAAAATTATTTTCCCATTTTTTTAAGGTAAATTTATTTAGTTTTTTATTTTAGGGTGAAAGCCTGCAACTTTGAAAACTCTTTTTCGGTCAGTAAGTACAATAATAATAATTTGAATTATCTGAATATTATGTGCGCCAAAAGTGTTTTATAAACAAACACTCCCATTTACATAAGTACATGTAATAATATTGTTAATATAGTCTTAGATAAACATGTTTGTTTGGAAATGAAGCATTTACTGGGTGTTCCTCGCCTGAACTACTTGGATGAAAGGAATATTACGTTAAATAATAATTTTTCATAAAAAAGAATAAACACTTCAAATAACCTTCCCGGCTTTTTTTGAATTTTTTATATGATTTTAAATCAGGTGATGAAAGGCCTCCAAATAACTTAAAAGAAGAAGATGACATAAATGTCAGTGTCAGATAGACAGATGATTTTGACAACTCTGTCATGGTTTCTTGAAAAAAAATAGTCCAATTCTTAACTATTTAATTAACAATTTATTTATCAAAACAGTATAATGAAATTGTATGAATTGGCGTTTATATTTCTTCTGTTAAAATTTGTTTTCCCCGTTAAATTTAGTTCGGCGAATTTTTGAATTTGTCTGTCACACTGAAAAGCAATTGTAGGGCTAAATGCCGCCAAGGGGGCGGCATTGCCAGAAGGGTAACTTCTTTTGTTTATTAATTAACGCATTATTGTTAAGTTTCTTTTTCGAAACAGTCTCGTGCAATGCTGAATTTGGATCAAGAAGTAGGAACTTGGGATACAGTATTGTTAGAGTCCCTTACCGAAGATAGTTTTATAGCAAACCTACAACAGAGATTTAAACGGGATCACATTTACACTTATATTGGAAATGTTCTAGTTTCGGTTAATCCTTACAGGAAATTGGCACTTTATTCCACTGATTTGGTTGAAACCTATGTCAGAAGAGCCCCTTTTCAGTTACCTCCCCATATGTATGCATACTTAAAGAAATATTGTTTGAATTTTAGTTTTTATGGTCTGTCTTTTAGCTATGGTGTTGCAGAATCAGCTTACAGATGGTTAAATGATCGAGGAGACAACCAGTGTATTATTGTTACAGGTTTATAAAATATTTTTATTAATATTCTTGGTTAATTGGTATAATAATTTTAGGAGAAAGTGGTGCAGGTAAAACAGAATCCGCGAGAATCGTTTTACAGTTCTTAGTGTTAGTTTCTGGAAATAGTGCCGAAATAAAATTAGTTAAAGATCGGTTAGTTCAGGCAAACACTTTATTGGAAGCTTTTGGAAATGCTAAAACTATGAAGAACGATAATGCATCAAGATTTGTAATGATACAAAACTTACTTTTATCTTTTTTGATAATTTTTGTTCTTTTAGGGCAAGTTTTTGGACATAGAATTTGATTTTAAAGGAGACCCCATTGGTGGACATCTAACAAACTGTAAGTGTCATTTGAATATTCTTTAGGACTTCTATTATAGTCTGTATTTATTTTTTATGCTTCAAGATTTTTTGGAAAAGGTAAATAAATCATTAAATATTGATCAAAAAAAATATTTATTTTTATAAATCTATCATGGAATTTTAACAGTGTTTTATATTTTAAAATTTTGTTTAAAAACGAGTTTCGAACACCATTAGGTACTTGTTTGGAACATTTGTCTAAAACTTTTCAAATATGTAATAAAAAAACAACTGTAATAGACAAACAGTAATAGTAAAACAGAGTTTAAAAGAAATGTTTTAAACAATAAAAAATGTTTTAAACAATAAAAAATGTTTTAAACCATATAAAAACATGTTTTCTTTAAAAATTGAGTAAAGAAACATATTTTTTTCAACACTAGTTGTTGAATAACACTGTTAGTAGATTTTTAACTGATAATTAAATTATTTTTAGTCTAGAATTACAAATTTGGCACCTAATGAGCGAAATTTTCATATTTTCTACCAGCTGTTATCTGGCGCAGATATTCATCTACTCAGTAAGTGAATCACTTTAATACCATCAAACTATATATAATTTTAAATATTTTAGAATGTCTAAAACTACAAAGAAACGTAGAACATTACTCAATCCTTCAAAATAAATCTAATGTTCCAACTGCCACTGAAGAAGATGACAAAAAATTATTCGTTTATACCAGAGGAGCCCTAGAGATTTTAGGGTTCATTCCTAGCGACATCATTGATATTTTTAGAGTTCTAGCTGTAATTTTAAAATTAGGAAATTTACAATTCGTGCCTTGCAATAACATAGACGGTACAGACGGGTGTTCTATTAGTAATGATTATGGTATGATTTTTATATTAGACAGTTAAATGTAACTTATTTATTTTTGTTTGTAGAATTATTTGAGATCTGTGAACTGTTATTGGCAGATAACAGGTGGATTCAACGGATCCTAACTACACGACAAATCGATGACGGTATTATAACAGACCTGAATGCAATAGAAGCGTCTAAAACCCGAGATATATTATGTAATACGTTATATAGTAGATTATTTTCGTGGCTGATTAATCAAATAAACGATTCTATAAAAGTAAAACTATTTAAGTAATTCTCTTTTAAATATTGAATGAGAATTTTTATAGGCAAAAACTTTAAGCAAAAGAAAAATATTGGGTGTGTTGGATCTGTATGGATTTGAACAATTTAAAGAAAATAGTTTCGAACAATTAATTATAAATTATTGCAATGAAAAGGTTCATCAGTTTATTACTAATATTTGTTTGAAAGATGAGCAAGAAGAAATGGTGAAGGAGGGGCTAGAATGGACCAAAATCGATTTTTTTAATAACATGTAGGTAAAAAAGTGATTACTGACTGTTCAGTTCAATATATTATAAGAATATATTGCTAGTACCGCATTTAGAGCTCGAACTCACTGACGACCAGGTCGCAAAGACCTGACCGTCGTCGACTGGCCGGATGTATTGCGTTTATAGCTGCGGCCAGATGAACGACCAATTTCAACAGAGTTGTCAGATCTAACGATTTTTTACGTTTTACCAATTAGAAAATATTGTCTCAGAAAGAATTAAGTTTCAGAAATGTTAAAATATCCGAGTTAACTAAACAGCGAAGTTGCTATTCATGAGCTCATTAAATGTTGCTCAAAATATTCTTGGATTTTTCGTTAATAAATACTGGTGTGGTAAATGGAGTAAGTAAAATCTCCAACCCCGACTACACGATAACGTCGTTATTTCCATGTTTTTCAAATCCGCGATGCCTGCTATTCCATCAGTCGTTTCATAACAGAATATTCTGCATCCTACGTAATAAATAATATGTGTAGAGTGAGACATGTAACTCGTGAGATTTTTAACATTGTATCAATAAAGGACAAAAACAGTGTTGTTCCTAAAGGTGCGTCCAGACTTGAGCATTTTAGCCCGAATGAACCGAGCGCGCACGAACAAACAGAACAAATAGGCCGAACAAAAAGCATTGTGACCGCGCGACCGACAAAAAGGAAGATATTCTGTTTCTTTTTCCTACTGATATGGACTTCTCCTGATGGCTCTTATCGACTTTAGAAGTAAACATATTAGAGCCATCGTAAAAAAAGGTCGTCAGACACTACTGGCTCTAAATATAAGCAGGTAGAACGTTTAGCTTCCAGTTATTTCAATGTTTACAATATAAATGCCCCTTTTTTATTGTTACTGAGAATCTACAACAGTAAATACTTCTATTTTTATGAATGTTTAAGTTACTTTTACTCTTAATTTTTTTTTTAAATAATGTACCTAGTAGAAATATAGTCTAATGGACTTTAAAATACAGTTGTCCTCCTTGTACATGACTACACTACAACTAAAAAACTAATTTAATAAAAAAAAAACAGTGGTTGTCAAAAACCTTTAAATATTATTTTTAAACATTAGGTTAAAATAACAGGTATCATACCAACCATAAATAGAGTATGTCATATAAAAATGTTTTGAATTTTTACTAGAATCGACCCTTGATAAAAAAGGGACTAGATTTAAGTTTCCCTTTGATCCAGTCTGTATACTATTTCTTTGGATTTTCTGCACGTGCGCAAAAACTATTCTAAAACACTATATCTTATAGAAAATAAAATATTGTGCGTTGAATTTCAGGGATTTTATCTGCAAAATTATTAATTTGGAAGAAAACCGGCAACAAGCGGCTGAAAATTATAATATTTTAGTGCAGTCTACTGGTCGCAACGACCAACCGACGGCCAGGAAGTTAGTGCATCGTTAGTGTGCGCTGTATCATTTGATTTAATTGATTTAGCAGCGGCCTGGTCGTCACTGTGTTCGAGCTCTTACACAATGAGTGGAAAGTGAAGCCAAGAAAAGAAATAGGAACATCAATCTTGATTCAACAGAATTTTTGTGCGCACGCGCCAAATCAAACGATCTGATTCGTATACTTCATCGCTGAACGCTCTAATATATTATTTTTTTATTGGTAATATCATTATTTCTACCTGTTATTTTAGATATTCATCATATCTATCCGTTTAAATATATCAGAGATTAAATTTAAATTTATAACTAAAGGCGCGAATAGTCAGACGTGGTAAAATGAAATAAATCAACTAATCGCGAAGCTCTTCTCACGCTTGCGTTTTAAAGCTGTTGAACGAAAAGGACCGACTTATGTGGATTTTGTATAGCTCCATCTCAAACATTTGGCTTCAATTTCTGTTCCGTACTAGCAATATAGTAGTCTTATAATTATTTGGCCGCGATGAACTGATAAAACTGTGAAGCGGGAAGGCCGATGCACTATGGACGTACCCTATCAGTCAGCGTCTTCTAGTCTTAGTGTTCCGAGTTCTGATGTTAACAAATACTATTATTTTTTTTAAGAATAATCTGTCAATTGTTAGAAAACGAAAACCACGGTATATTATCATTACTAGAAGAACCCCATATACAAACAGATAGTGATTATTTAACAAGATTGGAACAGTGTTGTTCAGGACATATGCACTGTTTAATAGATGAAGTAAATTCACCAAATAGTTTTCAGTAAGGATATTAGGGAAAAAATCGTACTACTGTGAAAAAATAAAATATTTTTTACAGGATTAGGCACTTTGCTGGTCCAGTAACGTACAAAATCCATGGATTCGTGGAGAAAAACCATGACAATCTTCCCAAAGAGCTTTCCAGAGCTATGTTTCGTTGCGACCTAAAAATTATGCAAGGATTGTTTCCTGAAGGGAATCCCAAAAGGTATTATGTTGAAAAAAGTTTATTATAACATTTACAAATAAAAATATAAGAATTTTTATTTTATATTTTGTCATTATTATCATGATATATGGTAAGTTATTAATATTAAAACACTTTTTTTTCTAGATGTAGTTTTAAAAGACCAGTAAGTAAAGCTAGTCAAATCCAAGTGTCTTTAAATGCGCTGTTGAAAAGTTTAGCTAGTCGTCAAAATCATTATATTAGGTGAGTATTTTAATGCTATACAGGGTGTCTCAGATTCTAATCGGGAAAATTTAATAGACGATAGAAAAATAAAACAAAAAGTTCATATCAACTTGTAAGATTTAAAGCTTCCTTTTCGAGATACAGGGTGTTAAAGTTACTTAAAAAAGAAAAAAGAATTAAGATATTTGAAAAACTATTTAATCGATTTGGATATAACTTGACCCGTTTATAATACTTACTATGTGACTTAATTTGATGTAATTAGATTTAAGTTTAATGGCCAGGGGCGGCGGTGGGGCATCACTGTTAAAGTATTTTAAAGGAAAAAATAGTCACGCCACTGCTTTTTTAGAAGTTTAATATTATTTTTGGATTTAGTAATTAAAAATATTATTTTTTTGTCTCCTGACTTTTTTGTCTATCCTGCTTACTTCTTCTTCTAATTGGTAATTAATATTATAATTGGTATTTTCTAATGGTACCCTGTATCTCGAAAAGGAAGCTTTAAATCTTACAAGTTGATATGAACTTTTTGTTTTATTTTTGCAAGTTCTATCGTCTATTAAATTTTCCCGATTAAAATCTGAGACACCCTGTATACTTCTGTCATTATCTGACCAATGATTTTTTAGATGTATAAAACCAAACGATATGAAACAGCCTAGACTTTTCGAAATCGGATTAGTTCAGCATCAAGTAATTATATTTTTTATCGCCTTTTAATACTTAATCAGCGCGTGTTTTTCATGGTTTTAGATTAGGTACATGTGCCTGTTATCGACTGTACAAGTATGGAGATCAGGCTACTGCCACAAAATGCCTTTTATCTCTTTCCTATGCCGGTACAAAATGATTTGCCCGCATACCTGGCCTAAATGGCGCGGATCGGCCATAGAAGGAGTTTCTTTGTTGTTGAGAAGTTTGCCCATTCCTAGTGCTGAGTTTACTTTCGGTAAATATTTGACACAAACTTGCGCTCTTCGTTGTGTTACCAAAACTCACTATACAAACTACATGACAATGATAGTTGTGTCTGTCATTCTAACTTACAACTGTCGAAATATTGTTATGTCACAACCAACTTGATAATACAGGCCTAACAAATAAGTTCATGACGTCACAAAAGTAGATCTATCATACGATCGAAAAAAACGGCATCAAAGTTGGTCTTAATAAGGTGGTAATTTATTTTATTTGTATGCAAGAAAAATGATTTTTAAATGCTATAGTTTAAAAATCGAGAAAAAATAATTTTTTGGATATAGATTTTTGTGTCTGGAAACGTTATCATCGATTGTCATTCCACAGCCGTCTTTGACGCCGTTTTTTCTTCTATCATCATACGGTATCTTTCCGGTATCTCTATTTTTCTATAAACTAATTTTAATGTTTGAATTAATATTTTAGTTGATTGACAATTTTCTTTAACACTGAGACGAAAAATTTTGAAATGCTTGTAATAATGGTATTCTAAACAAAAAAAAATGGCGGCGGGAGGCGCGTATAGCTGCTCATACTAAAATATGTTAATAAAAAGTTGGTAGGCAGTTCTTTTAGTTTCAAAGTAAAGGAATTTTTCCAATTTTTTTTCATCTCAAAAACTGCGACTTTGACTGATTTTGATGTTATTACAAATTTTGTTGCAAATATTATTCCTAATCTTAAATTGAAAACCGCGTTTCGCTAGCTACTGTAATTTTGGAGTTACGATTTTTTAAAATGTTTAACCCCCTCCCATACCCCCTTACCAACCCCCCACCCACACCAAAAACTAATTGGCCGGATTCTCGGGTGCCACAGTATTTTTGTGCCAAATTTCGTTAAAATCGGTTTAGCGGTTCTTGAGTTATCGTGTTACAGACGGACAGACAGACAGACACCATGAAAATATTTTGTATTTAGGTCATTTATAACCCAAATAACTCATTTTGAGTGAATTAAAAAACTTTTTTGTCGATCTTCGGTCGGCTAAAAATGTAACCATTTTTGAAAAATCCACGATCATTTTCAGGCAGATCAAAGCTTTTTATTCGAAGTCCAAGAACGGTTTTTGAGCTGGAGGATTTTAGAAGAGCCAGATTGCAAGATTTGGCATTGTTGATTCAAAAAACATGGCGCTGTTACAAGGAAAAAAAGAAATATCAAAAATTAAGAAGGGCTCAAATGACCATCGCTTCTGTCTGGCGCAGTTGGAGGGTAATAAAAAAATTGTTTATAACATTCTTCATTCTTGGTTATTATTATAGATTTTTCTGTTTTCTTTTTAAAGGGTTTGTCCATTAATTACATGAGGATATATATTAGCATATACAGGGTGTTTCAAAACAAATGCGAAAAACTTCAGGGGGTGATTCCTTGTTCAAAATAAAGGGTAGTTTGCTTCATAAACGTTGGGTCAAAAGTCAACCATTAGGGAGATATTGGGGTACAAAGATGGCGGAAAAATAATGTTTTTATTTTTTATCTTGAAAACGAAAAGAGATAGACTAATAAAATTTTATGGAACCATTACTGTTATGAAAACACACTTTCTGGTAATTTTTTCACTTTTTTAAAATGAGTGGAAGGGGTTGAAAAAAACTACCCCTATCATTCTTGTTAACGAAATTTAAAGAAAAATCTTATCAAACACATGCAAAAAAATTAATTTGGATAGTTTAGTTTGTTTAGAAACTTTTTTACCTCTTGTGTTTTCTTGATAAAACTCACCGATTGGAAATTAAAAAATAAAATGTAAAGCATTACATGTCAGGACAAAAAACATTTTCTGATAAAGAATCTAGTGGGCTACTGTAATTTTTTTAGGAAAAAATCTAGTCGGCCGCTGTTACTTTTTAGGATGTTCCTAATATTATTTTATTTGACATTACTCTACTGCAATACGTTATTCTCTAGATGATTACTATTATCGTTATTATCACTAGATTCTTAATCTAAAAATGTTTTTTGTCCTGACATGTAATGCTTTACATTTTATTTTTTAATTTCCAATCGGTGAGTTTTATCAAGAAAACACAAGAGGTAAAAAAGTTTCTAAACAAACTAAGCTATCCAAATTTTTTTGCATGTGTTTGATAAGATTTTTCTTTAAATTTCGTTAACAAGAATGATAGGGGTAGTTTATTTCAACCCCTTCCACTCATTTTAAAAAAGTAAAAAAATTACCTGAAAGTGTGTTTTCATAACAGTAATGCTTCCATAAAATTTCATTAGTCTATCTCTTTTCGTTTTCAAGATAAAAAATAAAAACATCTTTGTACCTTGATATCTCCCTAATGGTTGACTTTTGACCCAACGTTTATAAAGCAAACTACCCTTTATTTTGAACAAGGAATCACCCCCTAAAGTTTTTCGCATTTGTTTTGAAACACCCTGTATATACAGGGTCTCTCAGATTTTAATCGGGAAAATTTAATAGACGATAGAACTTGCAAAAATAAAACAAAAAGTTCATATCAACTTGTAAGATTTAAAGCTTCCTTTTCGAGATACAGGGTACCATTAGAATACCAATTATAATATTAATTACCAATTAGAATTTATTTTTTTTTCGCAAGAAGTAAGCAAGATAGACAAAAAAGTCAGGAGACAAAAAAATAATATATTTTTAATTACTAAATCCAAAAATAATATTAAACTTCTAAAAAAGCAGTGGCGTGCCTATTTTTTCCTTTAAAATAATTTAACAGTGATGCCCCACCGCCGCCCCTCGCCATTAAACTTAAATCTAATTACATCAAATTAAGTCCCATAGTAAGTATTATAAACGGGTCAAGTTATATCAAAATCGATTAAATAGTTTTTCAAATATCTTAATTTTTTTTTCTTTTTTAAGTAACTTTAACACCCTGTATCTCGAAAAGGAAGCTTTAAATCTTACAAGTTGATATGAACTTTTTCTGAGAAACCCTGAGAATCTGAGACACCCTGTATGTTACACTATATCGCTAGTCAGGAATAGAAATTGAAGCCAAATTTTTGAGATGGAGCAATACAAAATCCACTAAAGTCGGTCCTTTTTGTTCAACAGCTTTGAACTACGCAAGCGTGAGAAGTGCTTCTCGATTAGTTGATTTATTTCATACTAACCAATAGAAGTAGTTTTCCAAGTTTCTATCTACCACGTAAATCAATTTAGCGTCTAACTATTCGCGCCTTTATAAATTTAAATTTAATCTCTGACATATTTAAACGAAAACAAGAAACGGATAGATATGATGAATATCTAAAATAACAGTTGAAATAATGCCATTACTAATAAAAAAATAATATATATTATACGTTATTAATATTTAGAGTGTAAAATAGTACGCGGGCAGGTGACAGCGTTCAGCGATGAAGTAGACGAATCAAATCGTTTTATTTGGTGCGCGCGCACGAAAATCCTGTTGAACGAAAAGGATAGACTTATGCAAGATTGATATTCCTATTTCTTTTCTTTTGCTTCACTTTCCACTCATTGTGTAAATGCGGTACTAGATATAATATATTTGTATATTAGGATATTAAAATATTTTTTAGGCTAGGGAACTGTACAGACTGTTGCGACACAAAAAACAAGTTGAATGGGCGGCTAAAGTGATCCAAAGACATTATATTCAATGGAAAGTAAGTCTCTTACTTTAAATTAAAAGATTTCAATATAAATAAACTTGTTTCTAATGCCAGTTACAAGCTTTTTTTAATTTTTTTAATCCCCTTAAAATATTAATAGAGGAGACAATACCTGTTATCGCTGCCAAAAAGACTGCCGGCTGACAGCGAATCGCCTCTTTGCCGCGACTGGCCGACTTGTACGCCATCTATGCACGAAACCGACGCTCTACTTCGCCGGATCTACCACAGATGGCGCTGTCACAAGTTCCGGTTGGGCTTCGATCAGACTGCGCGGAACCGTATGCGCGAGAAAGTGACGGCTAGCTTTATTTTTAAGGACAGAAAATGTTCGTATCCTCGTAGGTAAGGGATTTGTTGAGAAAATAATATTTTTTCACTGTTTTGAGAAAATGTTTCGTTTTTTTATAGCGTATCTCATCCATTTTTGGGCGATTATGTCAGATTGCGACAAAATATTCAGTGGAAAAAGATGAGCTTGGAAAATAACGATCAGTACGTTGTATTTGCTGATATTATCAACAAAATTGCGAGATCTAGTGGAAAGGTATTATAATAATAAATTCATATTAATATTTCTACTTGATTTTTCTTTGAAAAAAAAAAAGATTAAGAAAGGAGTAAAATAATGCCACATCTGTATAATATTTAATCTGTGTCGATAGCATTGACACAGATTAAATATTATACAGATGTGGCATTATTTTATCTTGCTGATAAACGGCGCCGTGACCTCGTACCTTTAATAGGGCTATGGCGTTGTCAGACTTCGTTTTTTCGAATGCAATGTTGCCTTTTGTGAAAAAGTATTCCCAATTGAAATAATACTTAATCTGTGGCTCAGCTTTTATGTAGCGATTAATCATACGCATGCGCTTTGCATTCCCTTTAAATTGGCTATTTAAAGGGACCGAATGCATTCTTGTTTTAATTATGTTTCTCTGTATTAAGGAGTATAATGTTATACATGTATTCATGCATGTTAGACGGAGGCGGGGATCCTTGACAGTTCTGTTTAACGATTCATTTGACACATTTGAATATGATTTGAAATTTTGTGGATTTGTCTGTCTTTGCTGAGCTTATTTTATGTTATTTATTATTTATTCTACAACTGGTAGTTGTTTAAAGATAGTAAATCTAAAAAGAAATTTTTTTTTGAGGCAGAACATAAATTAACTGTGACACTATTGCGATTTGTCGAAAAAGACTGTAAAATAATTGGTTGTGTAGCGTGCGGTAGATCTCGGTCAAAAATCGAGGAAAATAGTGGAATAACTTTTCACTAGTGACTGACTATTTAATATACATACGTGTAGTAAACCGATTATTTATGAAATTCACTTAAAATTAACTAATTTTATATTTTTTCTTGCATTTTTGCTTTTATTTACTACTTGTCACAGATTAGATGTCAAAGAATTTAGATAAGTCAGTTTCAAGAACGGTAAACTAATAGAATTGCTCATCCTCATAAGACGTACGTTCGCCTCTTCCATAGATAAAAGACTTATACTATTAAATAGATAGGCAACTTATAATACATTTCAATTTTATTATACAAGGGCGCCTCTGGTAGACGGAGGAAGAAATACTAATGGAAGAGAGGGGTGCGGGGAAGGGGGGTTGTTTTAGTTAATTTAAAATAAATTTAGACATACATGTAAGAACACTTTGTGTGCTTTTAATTAGGTCGAACATATTATAAACAATAAATCAACTGAATTAAAAGCATACAAAGTGTTCTTATATGTCGGATATTAATTAAAAAATATATTAAAAATACTAGAAATAGTATAATATTAAGTTGTTACAGTTATAATTTAATCTTTGGCGGTTTTCAGCAAATAGCAGGCAGTTTTACAGAATTTTCCTCCCTTTGAAGTGAATTGGAAACGGCTAGGTATATAATTTTGGTGTAGGCAACATTCCCAGTTTGTTTCCGTTTGGGACCTGAAATAATAAAAACAAATTAAATCAGATGTAATCATCTGCTGATCATGCTAATATAAAACGAGCGTCCTTAATTCCTTACATGCACCGTAAAAAAATTACTACTGCTCTGCAAGTAGCATTTATTAGCAGTACTAATTTAAAAAATCTATAACTGTAAGTAGATATGTTTAATTTACTTACCATTGTATCCTTCAGAAACCAGGTGTACAACAACTAAACTCCATGATAAAAAATAATTAAGAGTTATTACAAAACACAAATTGTCCCACCATTTTTAAAAAAACATTGTCAAAAACAGAATACTGGCAAAAAATCTGAAGGAATTTAATTTTACAATAATTCGACAAATCAAAACGAAATCAAACCGTAAAATCACAACAAAAGCGTCTCTGGAGTGACAGTTAAAAATCAAATTTTATTATTGTCAGATATTGACATTTGCATTGTTAATATTGACAGTTTTAATATTTTGCGCCTCTGCATCTTGGAGGAAACACTATTTTTAATGAACTATCATTTCCATTTAAGTTTCCCAGCCATGGCCTCTTCTCGCGCTTCAGCAGACTGTTGTAGTCCTTGTCATGATAGTCTGTATTATTGGTTGCCTATAGTAAACGTATAAAAATAACAGCTGAGAAATTTTGAGTTAATTATTTTGTCGATTTTAAATATGAAAAAGGTGTTTTTAAAGTTTTTAGAGTTATAGAATGTATAAATACGTTCATATTGTGTTGTAGATTGTGACTAAGTGCTTACTAAGTGCCTACGATATTTATTAATTATTTTAAACCAAAATATCGAAGTACTCTAAAAAGAATGCCTGCAGAAGGTGATGCTGGGAACTGCTGTTCTTAAAAATACATTATCCGAGTATTTAATACGATTTATACAGTTAATTTTCTATATTGCATACATATAAGGTGTTTAAATAAATAAACTAAATAATGAATGTTTTGCATACGGCAACCAATAATACACACACTATCATGACAAGGACTACAATGTCGTCACAAAGCGAGGAGTTTTCGCATGTACCTGGCAGACACTTTCGGCTGAATGAGCAGTCCTATTAGGTTTACTGTTCTTGAGTCAGTTTGACTTACTTGCTTCAGTAGCGTATCGGATGTTTGTGTTATTAGACAGTTAAAGCAAGGCACAATACGTATACGTATCTCTCGACACGTAACGCAGAAACTTACGTTACGTCTGCCGTTGCGTTGTCGTGTAAACAAGAGTTAAAGCAAGTATTTTGACGTACGTAACGCAAATGGTACATTTGTAATTCTAAATTATTTTGTGAAACAATTTATTTAATTTTAAAATTGAAAATGGATATCTATTATTCCATTGATTCCACACAAATTTATAAAAGTAATATCGAAAAATGAAGAAAATTATAAATGGAAATTATTTTATTACAGAAAGTAGTCCTTACAACTTAAAATGCTCTTCGTAATAAAAAAAAATATTGGAAAACAGACACAGCTTTATGATTATTTATTAGATTTCATCTTTTAGAATCCTCATATGGATTTTGGCTATAAGAACTAACATTTAATTAAATAGATTCCAAAATGACTTTATTATGATGCCTAATATTTTCATACTAATTTATTGTAATAAAATAGGCCCAGTTCTGTGACACTGGCCCCAAAATTTATGAAATAACTTAATTACTAGCCAGTTGTAGAAACGAGTTGTTTGTGAATTTGTACGTTCGGCAGCATTCGGGTGAAAATCGAAACTCCTTCGGCTCGATACGTTTGCGTTTTGTACGTACGTAAAGCATATACGTATTACTTTTTACAAATATACTCAGGGTTCCCTATTTAACCCCGTGTGCAATTTCTGTGCCGTAAGAAGAAGACAACATAACCCAGCTCCATATTAAAACTGCATACGTCTATTTCACCCGGATATGGATTGAACTGCGATTGCGCCAAACTCCGATTGATTGTTGTTTTAGTTCTGTTTGGATTACTTTTTATTTGTGCGCGTAAAAGAGTGATTTTGTTTAATTTATTGTTTCCAACTATTTTTTGATATTTTTCCAACTCCATGATAATGTGTTATAAATAATAAAAATATAAATAAAATTGAAGGTTGGGTGAAATGTCAGTCAACCACTTCCCTTTAAAAACATCGACCAATGAAAACTTCTTCAGGTGAGGCATGCTCAGTTAAATGAATATCCGGGTGAAATAGACTTATGCAGAAGTCCATATTGTTCTTTCACTGTTTGGGCTTCACTTTTTGGAGATTAGGCTGAGTATATTTGTAAAAAGTAATACGTATATGACGTAAAGGCACGTAAAGATACGTATCACGTATCCGTAAACGCAAGTGAATTTCTCACTGCGCAAGCGTACATGTCAAACGATACGTTTACGTCCACGTCTTTGGCCGTTCTTTAAACTGTCTATTAAATAACTTCATAACTTATCTGTTTTTATTAGAATTATATCTAGAATGCTCCTTCCTTTATTTTTTTATTTAAAGTGTTTTTTTTTAATTTAACATTTTACTTTATTTTAGTTTGTTCCCATATTATTGGTGATATCGACCCGATCGATGCTCATTTTGGATCAGAGAACGCTCCAAGTTAAGTACAGGGTTCCGGCCTCGGAAATATACAGGATGTCCTTGTCTCCTTTTTTAGATGACGTAGCTGTTGTACACGTAAAGGCGGTAAGTTATTTCTTACTGTCAAAAAAATTCTAATTTTTTTATAAATTTTTCTCTTTTGACAGTCGTCGGTAATGAATCCAGAAACGTCAAGCGTGACATCTGACACTCCGGGATGTCTGTTCCAAAACGATTTGGGCAAGAAAAAGGGCGATTTTGTGTTCCAAACTGGTCACGTGATAGAGATCGTTACCAAGCTGTTTTTGGTGGTTCAAAATGCTACTGGCAAACCGCCTGAAGTTAACATCACCACGGAGTAAGTCTACCTATAATAATAATATCTATAATATTGAGTTACTATTCAGATACCGGATAGTTGCCGGATATCCGTTTCATCTCTGGTATCTATGCAGTCGTGTCATTGATGACGCTGCTGGCTTCTTTGGCTGCGACCACTCTACACTCTATGTAACAGTTTGATTGTTGCAGATTTGAGGCTAACTTTGGTTCTCAAACGGTGACGTTCACGTTCAAGTGCGGCCTGCCCGAGGTCCAGCCCGGTCAAATACGGGTCTTGAGAAAAGGAAACAAGATGGAGGTGCTCGTGTGACAACGTGAAAAAATCGAAATACATATCGATGAATCCAGCGACTCAAACACTGCCACTTTAACAATTTTTTATTCAAATTTTGGTTTCGGTTTTTTCAAAAAATGCACAACCTTTATTTTGCAGCAATGTGGAAAAGAAAAATCTGTATTCCAACTAACACGAAATCATTTTTTTTTTTGTATTTTTAATAATAATTAATAACTTTTAAATATATTAATTAAAATTCGTTTGGCAATTATAAATGGTATTGGATTTGATTTCCAAAATAGTAAAAAATTACCAGATTCAATCATTCACACGCAAAATATTCAATATACAGGGTGGTCCGAACTGTATTCCGGAAACTTCAGTAGCATATTCTGCACATAAAAATAAGTAAAACAATTCGTATAAATGTATGTCCGAAAATGCTTAGTTTCGGAGATACAGGGTGTAGAAATTTCATTTTTGTTTCGATTTTTTTCAAATAATTTTTGAAGTAACCTCAATATTTGGATGAAAATTGGTGTCTAGGAGTTTTTTGACATGAGAAATTTGATTTTGATGTCACTATGACTCCTACTTACAGAGGGCGCCACCTACATATTTTTTAACTGGTTTGAAGAGTAATAACTTTTCGCCCGTACCTGTATAAACGTACTCAGTAAAAAAATATACATTTAAGACGTTTTTTACGTAAAAAAAGTATCTTGGTAAAAATCGCTACGAGTAATGGTTCTCGAGATATTTTGAATCGTAATTATCAATACCTGTCATCATTGACATAAATTAAACATGTTAACTAAATAGTTATTAGACTGAAATCATAAATTTGAAATGTTTTTGTGCCAAAAGTTCAACAGAAACTGTTTTATCCTCATTTTTTCGAAGAAATATTTATTATTAATTTAAAAAAACGAAGTTCCCAAATTTATCAATTCAGTCAAATAAAATTATTTACCCAACACGTTTATTTTTTGTCAATAATGACAAAAAAAACTGAATTTTTGTCATGTATTGACTATTTCCATTCTAAATATCTCGAAAACGGTTTCTCGGGGCGATTTTTACCAAGAGACATTTTTTACGTAAAAAATCACGGAAATGTATATTTTTTCACTCAGTAGTTCTATACAGGTACAGACGAAAGTTATTACTCTTCAAAACAGTTAATACACATGTAGGTGGCGCCCCCTACAAATAGGAGTCATATTGATATCAAAATCAAATTTCTCATGTCAAAAAACTCCTAGTCACCAATTTTCATACAATTGATTGAATAATACATTATGTGGAATAAATCGAATTTTACTTATTTTTATCTGCAGAATATGCTGCCGAATTTTCCGGAATACAATTCGGACCACCCTGTATATAATACCGTATGATCGAAAAAAAACGGCGTCCAGTTGGCTGGGAAATGAACATCAATGACATTTTCCATATAAATTTACATATAAAATGACAGCGATCTTCATTCCATAGCCATCGCTGACGCCGTTTTTTCTCGATCATACGGTAGTTTCGATGTCCAGATCAGTATAGAGGTTATCCAGAAATCATCAACTGTCATTTCCAAAGCCACACAAATCGTTCACGGTTCAAGGTTGTTCAACTTGGCGTACAACACATTTTATCGTCTATGGACCACCTTATATACATTTTCACATACTATTTATTTTTTCTTAATCTTATATTTAGAATGCTTGCTGCAAGAATTTAGAACAAACTTTATTTTTCAACATTTTGACACAAAAAATACAGCAATTAGATCTTAGTTTTTGTTTTTTGATAATTATAAATATATATTTTTTTTTAATAAGCGAAAATATGATTTTGTTGTTAGTTGGAAACTTTATAATAAAGTGGAGTTTAAAAGTCGTTATCAAATCGGACCAAAACATATTGTAAAATCCTTTTTAAATAAATAGAAATAATTTTAGTTTTTCTCTTCTAATAAAGAAATAAGAAATTATAAATAGTAGTTAGAATTGTTAATATAAAATTGGATTTTTTTAACTAGTGTTGACCAGCCTGAAATAGAATCATTTTGTAATTAATTAAAAAATAGTTCGTGGATTTTGAATAAATTAATTATAGCGTCAATGAACGGAATTTTTACTTTGATAAAGATGATTTTTTTAGTACAAAAAAATGTACGATCAAAAAAAAACGGCATCACAGTTGGCTTGGAAATGAAGATCGCTCTGATTTGATTGATACATAAAAAATTATATGGTGAATGTTATCGATCGTCATTTCCATGCGTCTACTCGACGCCGTTTTTTCATTATTATACAGTATTTTTTTATTTATATATTGTTTCAATTTTGATGTTGGATGTAAAATAGAAACTTCGTAAATTTAACATGATTTTGTCCTAAAAGAAATTAAAAAAAATGGTGTTTGAACTTAGTACAACATGTACTTGATACAATAATAATAAAAAAGATAGTTGACAGTTTTATCTATTATAGCAATATGTTGTAAGCAAAATAAATTAATAAAGGTAATGTTATATTTTTAATTTTTGTTTTTATTGCCTGTCCTAAACTTTTTTACGTTATTTTTTAACAACAAATGCACAAAAATGCCTGTACGAAAATACCATATGTTCGAGAAAGAAAACGGCGTCAAGTTACCTTAGAAATGACGTTTATTAAATTCACCATATTAATTTTCTACTATACAGGGTGTCCCAGAAATAAGTGCAAGTATTTTAACTTGTAGTATAGTTCAACCTCAGAAACACGCCTATGAGGTTTTTTTTCGCAAAAAAAAAATTGAAAATCCGAAGTTTTTTAAAATTCTTTTTAGTTTTTAGTTAAAAAACATTATTTCTTGATAATATGGCAACATAGGTATTAGATTAAATTTATAAGAAAGAAAATCCAGAAAACATCCTGTGGTTCTGCAAAAAAATCACTTTTTTGGAAATTTTCAAAGTAAAGTAATTCCGTTTGGACTTACTTGAAAAACGATAAAGAGAAAATATATTCTACTACCGTATGATCGAATAAAAACGGCGTCAGCGATGGCTATGAAATGACAATCTACATAAAATAAAAAAACAATCTACAATATAAAATGACAGCGATCTTGAATTCATAGCGATAGCCATCGCTGACGCCGTTTTTATTCGATCATACGGTATAACTATTTCTATATGATGCTACTGATCATCCTTTCTAGGATAACTTGATGCTCTTTTAGATCATACGGTATTATTATTTCTATAGAGATAAAAACATTCTAATGATCATAGATCACATGAGGAATGATCTTAAAATTTGTATTATTAAACACACATATTTATTTTTATTAAGTATCAAACCAAGGTAGTACCAGTCTCAAGGCACATAAGTACATTATATCTATTTACAATCATACATAGATACAAAACATTTTTTAATACATTAAATTTTATTGAGGTTGTTCTCCGTTCTGTTCTGGCTGTGGTACCGGTGGTTCTACGCCATTCTGTTCTACCCTAGCTTGTTGCACATCCCTTCTGGCATCGTCTAACACACCTCTAGCTAATTCTCTTTCGCTGTACCGTTCTCTCAAAGCATTAAACAAGCATAATTGTGCCTCGTATTCTCTCTTCAAATCTCCGTTGTGCCTGATCATGGTCTCTAATTTCGTATGAAGAAGAGTTTGTCTGTCTTTATCCGCCTTCAATCTACCTTCCATGCAATTGATCTTCTCTTCCAACTGGGTTACCTCCATGTTCCTTATTTCCAGCAAGTCTTTGGTGATTTTAACTACATCCTTTAAGCTCTCGTTCTGTTGGGATAATGCTTCAATTTGTAGTTCCTGGTTCTTGATCACTTTGGTGTTCTCAAAGATCATCGCCTTGGCTTTGGTTAGGATACCCTCGGATTGTGTCTTTAATGCTTGTATTTCCAAGTTTTCTTTCGCTCTTTGGGCCTGTTGTTTTTGACTTTGTCCCACTTCTAGTTCCATTAACGCTATTTTTTCCTTTAAGTTTGCTATCTCCAAATCTTTTAACTAAAATCATATTTAATGTAAAAATTATTAAGTAGAGAGTTTTATCAATGTTCTTACCTTCAGAGCTTTTTGAAATTCTTTCGTGCTAGCTGCTACTTCCTAGAAAATATAAAATATTACTTAAAAAATCTTATTTAGCACAACAAGAAGACAAACCTCTGCCATTTTTCTGTATTTCTGGGTAAGCTCTGTAAAATTTGTCTAAAATTAGTAAAAATCTAGTGCATCTGAACGTTTTCAAACGCAGAAGGAATAATTCTATTTAAAACTGCGGCGGCTTTGCCAGAAATTTATTTTTAGATTGCCAGATTTTTTTTCAAGTCAGTCAATTTTAAATTTTCCGCCTTGTGAATATCTGGTTGTCTAACGATGACCACACTGAAGTTATGTCACGTTTAATTTGCCATAACCTCGAAAATTTCCATCAAAATCATTATCAAAATCTAGAAGGAGAAATCTCGTTTTTTGTTAGAAAATAATAACATTCATCAGAAATTAATGTATAAGAAGTGTTTTAAGTTATAAGAAAAGTGCAATTTTGTTATGAACGATGATGTGTTATTGTCGACAACCTCTAATTTAATCGTTTCATCTTCACCATCTCAAAAAGTCACACCAAAGATTTCTCCAGTGATTTAATAATATTACGACAGAATCATTACTGAAGTTTTTTAAGAGGTAAGAACGTTCGTTTAAGTTAAACATGTTCCGTTTTTACAGTATATTAACTTTTAGGTGTTTATCAGATAAGTCATGGAAGAATACACAAGAGAACCTTGCCCATGGAGAATTGTTGACGACTGTGGAGGTGCTTTTACCATGGGCCTTATAGGAGGTGGTGTTTTTCAAAGCATTAAAGGTTTTAGAAATGCCCCATCTGGGTTTAATCGCAGACTGGTATTGTTTCTCACACATCAATATTATTACTAAAATAATTACGGATGTTTATCTCATAGATTGGCTCATTAGCCGCGATAAAACAACGTTCTCCCATAATAGCAGGCAACTTTGCAGTATGGGGCGGTATGTTTTCAACTATTGATTGTGCTCTGATTCATGTCCGGAAGAAGGAAGATCCTTGGAACTCCATTATCAGTGGTGCCGCGACTGGTGGCATTTTAGCAGCTAGAAACGGACTACCTGCTATGGCTGGAAGCGCCCTAATTGGTAGAAATTCTTTTTTATAATTATTTTATTTAAAATTAATTAAATATTGTGTATTTTTTAGGTGGTGTGCTTCTGGCATTAATCGAAGGCGTAGGAATTCTATTTACCAGGCTGAGCGCGGAACAGTTTCAGCCTCAGTTACCCCCATTAGAGGACCCCTCGCAGTTGGGTCAGAATCAGCCCCCTCCTGGATACCAATATCAGTAGGGTAAATTTTTTTATTGTTTTTTGCTGTACTGATAGTGAATTAAATTGTAATATACGTTGTGATATAGTAAACATACTAGACAAAGATTTCCCTTTATAATGTTGTATGTTTTTTTCTTTCTGAGTGCCAGGAAATAAATTATTTTTTTTTAATTTTCTTTTTTTTTCATTACTTATTTTCAGGGTTGAAAATATATTTATTTATGAACAGAACGTGTTTTTTATAGTTTAAAACAGTTTCTGTCGTTTTAAAGAAGGTTTTAACTCTAATAAAGTTATTTTTATTGATAAAAAAATAGTTTTAGACACATTTAAAACACTTTTTTTCAAAAAAAGCATTTAAAACATAATAGCCCGACTTATTTCTAAGGATAGGAAAAAATATTTACTTCAAAACATTTTAATATTGTATTTTTATTTAACAGTATAGATAATTATTGATAAATATATATTTGAACACAATCTTTTAACATATAAATATATTTTTAAGCATATTTCTTCATACATAGCTTTCATTTTGGGCAGAATATGCTAGAAATGAGTCTAGAAGTTTTGGTTCAACCAACTCCTGGCAGTCTTGTTCGTTCAGCATCTCTGTTCCACAAGCTTCAGCAATTTTTCTCAAAGTAGCCTACATAAATAAAATGTTTATGATAAAATAAAATAATTTCATGATTGAACTTACCAAAGCAGCAACTAAAACAGCGTCGCTATTGAATCTTTCTTGCTTTTCCCTGCACAATTGTACCAATAGTCTGAGTCCGTCATTTTCCACTACTTGATTAGAACCTTTTTTGTCCCCACATAACCTGGATAGGGCAATCACACCTTTTTGTTGTAAACGACGTTCAACGTCTTCGTTTTGGTTGATTCTTGGTTGTTTTAAGAAATGCAATAACGCAATTACAGCCTACAAAAATAGTTATTTTTAAATTGGATACACAGCAGGGTTGTAGTAGATTACTTACATCAGCATCTATTAGTTGTCTTCTAACATCTTCTACAGCTGCCATATTAGCTAGCAGAGTTGCTACTTGTTCCAGCAGGTACACACTAACCATAGGCCCCCTGTTTTTGACAGCAGATAACAGGACTGGAGCTGTTCTGAACTGTACCAAGAACTTGATACACTTGGCGTCCATGGAACTGAGATTCGCCAAAGCTGCAGCGCATAGGAGTAGATTCTGGCAACATTTTGTATCTGCTGCGAATTTTGTCAGAGACTGGACTAGTTTTTTGGAATAATCCTGCAATCCTTGTACCTAAAAATAAATAAATAAGGAATTTTGTACAGGTACAAATATTGTACCGTATGATCCAATATATGATACAAAAAAAAACGGCGTCAAAGACTAAACAAAAATAGTAATAGACTCTTTTCTGAGATTTTTTAATACAATAAACTGCTTCTTACCGAATGGTTGTCTTCCAACCATGGAGCTGTGACTTGAGCCAGAAGAGCTACAGCTTCGCTTCTTTCGGGCTCCGGCCTTGAGTCTTCTTCCAGAGTATCGGCGATGATCTGGACTCCGGAGAATTTCTCAAATAGCCGAACTGCCGTGGAGTTGCAGCACATGGTGCTCAAAGCTCGCAGAATCAGAGTCCTCATAGAGGAACCGTCGCATTTTTCGCAGAGTATCAGAAGAATCGGTATAATATCAGCCTAAAAAAATATTCTTTTAGCTTGAGTTGTGGTAAAAAAGTACTGTACAAAACTTGCTGAAAAATACATAATAGTTGTTTATTATACAGGATGGTCCAAACTGTATTGTATCGCTATTTGTAGAATATGCTGCCGACATTGCCCGAATACAGTTCGGACCACCCTGTATAAAAGTGTTTTAGGGAGCGTTTATCAAGTGAATAAAATATAAACGTTTTAGACTACCCTCGTAAATTTAATTTGTACCTATTGAGCTGTGGTACTATAGTATTAGGTAATTGTGGAATGTATATTACCTTAACAAAATGTTCTATCAGATCCGTATTCCTCAAGGAGACAGAGGTGACACCTGTCAAACTTGCCCGAAGATCCGTATCAGAAGTGGGATCTTCGAGTTTTTCAACTAGTTTCTTAATTTCCTTTATCAAAATCTGTGTCCTGGTGCTTTCCCATTCGACGTAGAACAACTCCAAATTCGCCAATGCCTCTTCCAGACTGGATTTGTTGATTTTTTCGTAGATTTGTAAGGTTTTGGAGTTGACTAGGCCGGTGTGCGACTTGTAGAAGTCTAGGATATTTCTGGCAAGGTTCTGGATCGAGGAAATAAGAGGCTGCGTATCCCTAAGGAGAAAAAAAATTTGGATGCCAATGGAAAGAGCCGAAATTGATTGCATTATTTACTTACGTTTTCAAGTTCCTGTAATCCTGTTCAATGCACCTAGCTTCCGACAGCAACCCCCTCAAAATGGTGGTGGCGCACGCAGCTAGATGGCTGACTTTCTCGCCCAGCTCAGCCGCTATGGACTTGCATTGCAGCATGGTGGTGCACTCCTGCTCGATGGAGTACCTGGCTTCCTGCAACCAGCGCAGTACCGCCTCGTTATCGACCGTTACCCCGTCGGTGTGAACCGGCGGTACCCTAAACCAGATTATTTGAATATTTTAATGTTACATAAGCCTCGGATGGGGAATAAATATGTATTAGCTGACGACAGACAGGTTGTTAGAGTGAAATGTATATGGGAAAATCACGAACTTTAATGGTCGTACCAGATCGGTACTTGCAGCAAAGAGTTCGATTTGAAATTGACTTTCAGAGGCGGTTCAGGGTTTTTGTTTGTATCATAGAGGGCTTAGAAATACAGACTATAGTTTGTCCAACTTCGACAGTCAACAGTCAAATGACTAGAGAATATTTCGTATGACCGAAAAAAAATTGGCGCCGGGATGGACGTATAGTAAATACGCCCATACTAAAATATGTTAATAAAAAATTGATAGGCAGTTCTTTTAGTATCAAAGTAAAGGAATTTTTCCAATTTTTTTTTTATCTCAAAAACTGCGACTCTGACTGATTTTGATGTTATTACAAATTTTGTTGCAAATATTATTCCTAGTCTTAAATTGAAAACCGCGTTTCGCTAGCTACTGTAATTTTGGAGTTACGATTTTTTAAAATTTTTAACCCCCTCCCATACTCCCTACTACCCTCATAGTGGGTGCCACAGTGTTTTTGTGCCAAATTTGGTTAAAATCGGTTTAGCGGTTTTTGAGTTATCGTGTTACAGACGGACAGACATACACTGACAGACAGACACCATGAGAATATTTTGTATTTAGGTCATTCATGACCCAAATAACTCATTTTGAGTGAAATTAAAAAAACTTTCTTTTTGCCGATCTTAATAGCCTACCATACCTGTTGGTATGGTCGGCAAAAAATAGTGTTTTTCTCGAATTTTAAACTACGCAAAATAAATTACAACCTTCTTAAGGCCAACTGGCAGTACGGGCTAAGTAAATGACGTCTTGGGCTTGATCTCGCCAAAATTATCATTGATTCTCATTCCGCAGCCGTCTTTGACGCCGTTTTTTTTTTCGATCTTATGGTAAAATTGACTCAGTGACAAAAAAAACTGCACAATGTCCCAATAGTGCTTCGATTTTGGTAATATTTTATATATTTTTGACTTAAAAAAAAAACAGATTCTTCCCCAAAAAACACAATTTTATTTAAAAAAAAACGCAATGGAAGTATGCAAGAGAATAGAGATCAGAGTATTGTAGCGAGATACAAGCGCTTTCAAACTTTTTTTTTTATTTTTGTAAAATCAGGTATTTCTACATGGTGTTGTGAAAAACGATCATAGTCCTGAACTCTGATCGTTTTTGCAGGTACAAGTGTGTAGTGGTGCTATAGTAAACGCCACGAATGTTTGGGACTGATTTATCGGTCGCTTACATGTGAACTAATCTGTTCAAGGTCACATAAAACTTAATTCCAGTGCCGTGATGTTTCAAGTCATTATAATAATCTTTGAATAAGAAGACTAAGGAAGGAGCATAATGCTATCCATGTATTCATGCATGGTGGGCGGAAAAAGCGCCATAAAAGCACTCTAGGGTGGGGATCCTTGACAGTTCTGTTTGACGATTCATTTGACACATTTGAATTTGATTTGAAATTTTGTGGATTTGTCAGTCTGTGTCAGTCTCGGTGTCAGTCTTTACGGAGCTTATGTTATGTTATTTATTATTTATTCTACTACTGATAGTTGTATAAAGGTAGTAAATCTAGATGGAAATTGTGGCAGAACTTAAATTAACAGTGACACTATCGCGATTTATCGAAAAAGATTCTAAAATAGTTGGTTGTGTAGCGTGCGGTAGATCTCGGCAAAAATTGAGTGAAATAATGGAACAACTTTTCGCTAGTAAGTGACTATATAATATACATACGTGTAGTAAACCGATCATTTATGAAATTCACTTAAATTAACTAAATTATATATTTTTCTTGCATTTTAGCTTTTATTTATTACTTGTCAAAGATTAGATGTCAAAGAATTTAGATACGTTAATTTGACTTACCTGCTTCAGTAGCGTATCGGATGTTTGTGTTAATAAATACTTATTATAACTTATCTATTTTTATTAGAATTATATATATTTTTATAACAATTTTAATAACTACCAACATTTATTCACAACGTAAAATAAAACAACAAATTATTGAGTCTACCCCACGTCTACCCTGCATCATAGTTTTATAATTAAGGCCATATTTGAGGCCCATCGCGGTGTACCTAAGATTTTTGATATGCTCCTTCCTTAGTCTTCTTATTCAAAGTAATAATCAATATATAATCTGTTGTAATTTGTTGTTTTAACTGTCAAAGTCTTGTGAAAACATATATTTGGTTATAAATATAAAATGGAATGCCCCATTGGTCGCACTGCAAGCACACCAATGGACTGACGCACAAAAACGAATCAATCAAAGAAACGCGATATAGTATCGTCATTGTCAATCACGCTAACATTTTAAAATAAGTAGGAGGAGCGCAGGCAGATGATTGGACCCGGCCTTTAAAAAACTACGTCTGCGGTAAAAATTTACGTTTATAATGCAAAAATGATAGAGCGCGTGTCCATTCTAACTTCATCAAGCGATGAATCACTCCGAAACATTCGTGGCGTTTACTATACACATTTTTGCATAAAATTAAGCAATTACTCTTATACTATAACTATATTTGATATCAATTAAAGTTTTAGTTACGTAATCGAGGGCGCGATTTTTAAATTCATTGCTGCCAACCATGGACAAATTCGGCGCCGGGCTGACTAACCGGAATTTAAATTTCCCGCTGGGGATTCAGGTGGTAGCTCTGTTGTAAAAAAATATCAAGTTGCCACATTTGTTTACTTTATTTCCTGTGACATTTTAAGCTTAATGTTTTTTTACTAGCAGACCTTACAGTCAGAACATTGTTCTTTTTAGAACCTCTTTTAGTGCAAAGAGTAAAATAATAGCCGTAAAAATCTCATCACAACTTTATTACAGTATTTTGAACCAGAAAGCGGTAGTAATGGCCCTTTATGTCCCTTAAGTGCTGTTAAGAAGGTGAGTTTTGTTGATGTAAATAATAACTGTTTATATATTTATAATTAATTTATTTTTATTTCCTAAAAAAAATGATTAAAAGAAAATATCTAAAAGTGGGCAACACTGTGCCGGTTAAGCTTAATCACGTGACTAAAAGTTTATTTTTTGATATGAACTATAGTTGGTTATCACGGTATAATAGAAATTTTTGAGATTCTTATTATTGATGTAAAATCTACCTTTTTGTGGCTCTGATCTCATTTCCTGTACCCTTCAATTATCATCAAATTTAAGCAAGACAATTCCTGAGAGATAAACATAAAACTCACCTTTCATTATCCTGATATCTAAGTTTCAACCTCTGCTGTAACCTTGCTTTCTGTCCCCGTCTACGCATACTATCCAACGACCCCCTAATATCACCCTTCGGCGTGGAGGTATGTCCTGGACCCTCCAACCTCCCGAACAACTCCTCCAACTCACTATCGCACTCACTCGTGTTAAACGACGTCACCGCTTCACTTTCTTCCGTGCTCAGGGAGGAATCCAAGCAAGCCGGGGCGGTTTTGTTCGATTTCCTGGATCTCCTGATCGATCCCGGACCGTTCCTGATAATGGGTAGGGATTTGGTGCCCGAAATCTCGCTGCTGGTGTCACAAGCAAGCGACCGATCGGACGCGCGACTGTCTTCTTTTTCGTCTTCATTTGTTTCTTCGCGTGAGCGCGGCTTGCTGGATTGTGTGAGCTTTGAATACTGATTAGAGTAGTTGTCGGGACATTCTTGGGTATTTTTCGACGAAGCGAAGAGGTTCCTGCTTACTTTGGGTGAATACTTTCCGTATCTGTAAATGAAATTGAAGCATATAAATATTACGATTTACAAGCATCTTTCGCTCGTTTACGTTTACAATTATCCGTTAACGATGACGTTAATCAAACAAATCACGTAATTTTCTATAACAATATTCATGTTCGACGTATAAAAAAGAAGGATATTTTTTTTGAAAGGAGGTTTGTGTATGAAATCTTAAAAAAATACTACTATCTAAATTAAATATTATTTTTGACAAGGTTCAAAATCGCCAGGTATAATCCTACAGTATGTCCCCCGATTGTCTTTACAAGAGGAGAGCAACCTTTTTATTATTGACATTTTGAAAAAAATGCATTCTTCATAAAAAATTTTGCTTGTTCTAAAATGTTTAGTCCCGTTTATATTTTTCCAAATACCGTTTTAGAGAAACTTAAAAAATTCATGAAAATATGGTTAATTTTGTTCCCAGTTGAAGTCCTAAAAATCAAAAGGCGTTTCTATGGTAATTTTTAATTTTACTTCGATTTTGTTCTTTGATAGTTGGTTATTATTAATTTTGATTAACATCAAATTTTTTACTGTTATTAAAAGTATCACGTTTTGAATTTTTGGATAACTAATATAACCTTTTTCGTAACATTGAAAGCAAAAAATATGACGTTAATTTTTAATTTTTTTGACGTTTTTTTTTAATTAAAATGCTATCAATAACAGTGTCAAAGATTGAAAACGAAATTATATTACTATACCGGATGCGTCTGAAAAGTGGCTCACCCCCTATAACTTTTTTATTTTTTCAGATAAAAAAAACGAAATTTGGTATGTTAGTATATGACATAAATTAGGATTGATTGACGTATTCAATTGTTTTTGGTCGCTTCCTGTTTCACCGGAAATGACTACAACTTTTGATTTTTAAATGACACCCTTGGTATTTTTTTACTCTATTCAGTAGAAAATTACATTCTGAATAGAATGACATATCACATGTCAACTTTTGACATTTTCGCTTAATAAAAAATCGTATTTTAAAATTCAATCTAGAGCGCCATGGCTATGTTAAAAACACGGAGTTTAATCAAGGAGCCTGGGAAAAATAGATTTGATCGTCTAATGTTTTTAGTGTCTTGTCCTGAACAGTTAGAAAATGCTCAAATCGTATTTTTAATAATATCTCAATTTTTTCAAATGGAACGAGGGTGGCTCATTAGCATATTTGGAAAAGCATTTTTTTACGAATAATTTGATGCCACACACTTGGTATTTCGAGAAAAATTTTCGTTACAAACCGTTATAATTTCAAATAAACCATATGCGAAAATGTCAAAAGTTGACATATGATATGTCATTTTATTCGGAGTGTTATTTTCTGATGAATAAAGCAAAAAAATACCTGGAACCCTGGTATTTTTTAAAACTCAATAGTTGTAGTCATTTCCGGTGAAACAGGAAGTGACCGAAAACAATAATTGAATACGTCAATCAATCCTAATTTATGTCATATACTAACATAGCAAATCTCGTTTTTTTTAACTGAAAAAATTAAAAAGTTATAGGGGTGAGTCACTTTTGAGACGCACCCGGTAGAAAGGCGTTTTGATTTTTTGGACTTTTTTTTAATTTTCTCAAAAACTGTATGGAAATTTGGAAAAGTATAAACGGGATTAACCATTTTAGAACAAGCAAAAATGTTTATAAAGAATACATTTTTCTCAAAATGCGAATAATAAAAAGGTTCTTTTCCTCTTGTAAAGACAATCCGGGGACATACTGTATATCTGATACGAGATATATTAAAAATCTAAAATTAGATTTAATTGCATTTAAGCTTATTTTTGTATTTACCTCTGTTTTCGCATAGGGTCAGTAGCACCACCATTCACCACAGAGAACTTCTTCAGAAAGTGAGGAGACGATTTTCCTTCGCTTTTTGTCAACCTTTCGTCGATACATCTCTTCACCGGAGTCAGTTTCTCCTGATAGTTGCTCGACAAATTCAAATTCGTTTTTGAGTTTGTGTTATCTCGATCTAGAATGCATAATAAAATATACCAAAAATTAAAAAAAAATGTCTTTCTTAGCCTAACCTTAAATGGTATTTAAAAAACAAAAAATGCAATCGATCATCTAATGGATCTTTGTATAATCAGTATAATAAACTTACAATGAGTATTATAAGTTTTTAGTTCTCCAATAATTCGAATAGCAGTTTTACTAAAATTAGTTTTAATGTACTAATTTTAGTGTAATGTTCTCTTCTAACGAAGTAATATTAATAATCTTCATATATTAGGTACATATTTTACCCTCTTCTAGAAAAATTCTAGTTACGCCCTTATAGCAATAGCGAGACTGGTTTTGGGCTTGCGACAGTCCAGTGCAAGACTTACGCAAGATCAAGATTTGCTTTACAGTCTTCAGATATATTATATCATTCTTTTTAAGTTTTATTTCATTAAATTAAAAAATACTATTTATTTAAATATTTTAGCAAGAGTCTTGAAGCAAAACCAAAACCAAGTACAAGACTACTTATTAGACTTCAAGACCAAGACCAAGAAAGTCTTGATCTTGTCGCATTTGCTTAACACTACGCCTTTGCTAATGGCATTCATAGAAATCAGAGCCAAATTTTCTAAAAGGTTATTTTTTGCTTTTTTTTATTTCTACAGAGTGAGTCTTAAATAAGTGCAAATATTTTCAGGGCTGGTAGATCTCGATAAAAGAAACATATTTTCTCTTTACCGTTTTTCAAATAAATCCAAAATAACCGAGTTATTTTGCATTGATTATTTCGAAAAAAAATATTTTTTGCTAAAATTTTGAGAACCACTGGATCTTCTCTGAATTTTCTTTCATGTAAATTTAATCTGCTACCTATGTTGCCATAATATCAAGAAAAATGTTTTTTTTTTACTAAAAACTAAAAAAAATTTCTAAAAAAAATTCGCGAAAAAAAACGTGTTTCTGGGGTCAAAATATACTACACCTAAAAATATTAGCAGCATTATTTATTTTAAGGCTCACCCTGTATAGTAATTACAATTATTGCACACTCACCTTTAAAAATATTTTTTGTAATTTCCTGGTTGCCTGAACTTTTAGGCGTTAAATCATTATTATTTTCTTCTTTTCCTTCTTCAATAACTTCCTTTAAATTGTGTTTTGAACTGTTTTTTGCCCTGAACACATAAATTCTATTACATTACACTCTTTATAATACTTATAGGTATATCGAACCATAAAAAAAGTCATCACAGCGGACTTGAAATGACAATTGAGGATAAATTCTGTCAAGCTGATCCCTATATAGTTTACATAAAAATATGCCAAAAATTGACAAAAAAATTCAAGGACTACTGTAATGCATTTTTTCAATCGCATGTTTTTAATGCATTTGAACGTTATTTTTTAATAACCAACCTAATTTGAATGATTATAAAGACAAATATCAAGTCCCTCCTGTGAAATACTTGTTATATTGACTCACCTGTTTCTCTCTGAGTTGCGAGGACTTGTTTCCGTATCAGAAAATCCAGAATCTTGACTTCCAGGACTGGCGGAGACTTCCCTGAACTCCAGACTTTCGCTGCCCCACCATACTTTGCTGGGGCTTCGCTTAAAGCTCATTTCTAGGGCTTCCTGAAAGCCGAAGAAAAGGATTAAGTTATTATTTCCTGTTATTATAAATATAGTTAGTCCTTAACCTAGTTATACGATTTTAATTTGTTAAAAAAATCTTTTCTACAAAGCTTTGAAGATACAAGAATATGTGTACTAATAGAATTAACTCACTTTTTGTTTGTAGGTGTGGTAGAATTAACCAAAATGCAAATATAAAGTAATAACACCAATTCTAAATTAACCAAAACTATTTCTTCTTGATTAAATTAAAATATACAGCATTTTGGAGTGATTTCATATGCTTTTTAATTGATATTACCATTTCTCTTTTTCAGACTACGAAATTTATCAAATTTCCAAACACATGTGATGTTTTAGTTTACATTTTCATCTTATTTACTGTCAACGGACTTTTTATCTTAAATAAATAACTTTAATCTCTTCCAGATTCCCTAAAGCTCCGTCCACACATACGGTTTTACCTGTCAGTCTTTCCCGCTCAGTCAAAATGTATCGATTAAAACCTTGTATGTGTCGACGAATAAATGGTTTGTTTTAGTTGAACTGAATTTAAGACAGAAGATCTAGACAACTGACGGGATCAATCAGCTTTACAACAAAACTATCGTTTTGTCTGCACTATAAAAAATTCAACTTCGCTAAACACAATGCTATAATTGATAAAATCACAGGTGAAACTTCCAGTGTAGATGATAGTTTTTATTCCATGTTACCTGACCGATAAAACGATACGTGTAGACGAACCTTTAGAGACACATGCTCATTTTACTCCAAACAATCTAAACCATAATTTATTAATTAGTTTATTTTTTAATTTAAACAAGTTTCATAAGTACAGTATTATATCTCTAAACACCCCTATATCATTTATCCTTTATCTACATAACACCGTACCCTTATTTTTATGTAAACAATACATTGTTTACATTAAAAACCTATTGCGATAACTGATATATACCGTATGTATGAATCATATGAGTTGGCAATCTATGTTTTAAATTGTCCATTACCTATACCTACACCAGGAAAAGTTTTATAATAATTTTCTGATAACAAATGTCATGATTAATAGTTCTGGAATTTTATCTAATCAAATACCTTCAGGTGTGAATGTATTATTAAAATAACCTATAATTAAATAATAGAAATCTGGCTTATAGGGCACAATTTAAAAATGTACAGGGTGAGTCAACGATAAAGTTCATTATTTCATTTATTTCGAGAATTATAATAAAATGTCAAATAAAAGAGTTTTAAAGAAGGATACACAATTTAAAGTTAGTTTCGAGTATACAGGGTGCTTCAAAAGAGTGTGGGGATATAACATATGTTTTATTTTTATTGTAATATACTATTTTTTATTTTAGTTTTAGATTTGGGAACGTAAAGTTTTATAATTTTTGTGTATATTATGATATATATGTACCTAAAATTAGTAGTTCTTGTAATATTTCAATCAATACCGAATGCGTCTCAAAAGTGGCTCACCCCCTATAACTTTTTTATTTTTTCAGATAAAATAACGAGACTTGGTAGGTTAATATATAACATAAATCAGGATTGATTGACGTATTCAATTGTTTTTGCTCACTTCCTGATTCACCGGAAATGACTACAACTTTTGATTTTTAAATGGCACCTTCGGTATTTTTTTACTTTATTCGATAGAAAATGACATTCTGGATTCTGGATAGAATGGCACATCATATGTCAATTTTTGACATTCTCGCATAATAAATTTCAATCTAGAGTGCCACGGCTGTGTTAAAAATACTAATTTTTAATCAAGGAGCCTTGGAAAAATATATTAGATCGTCTAATGTTTTTAGTGTCTTGTCCTGGCCAGTTAGAAAATGCTCAAATCGTATATTTTATCATATCTCAATTTTTTCAAATGGATAGAGGGTGGCTCATTAGCATATTTGGAACAAGCATTTTTCTACGAATAATTTGGTACCACACACTTAGTATTTCAAGTCAAATTTTCGTTACGAACCGCAAATTATAATTTCAAATAAACCATATGGGAAAATGTCAAAAGGTGACAGATGATATGTCATTCAATTCAGAGTGTTATTTTCTATAGAATAAAGTAAAAAAAATACCGAGGGTGCCATTTAAAAATCGAATGTTGTAGTAATTTCAGATGAAACAGGAAGTGACCAAAAACAATTGAATACGTCAATCAATCCTAATTTATGCCATATATGCCAACGTACCAAATCTCGTTTTTATAACTGAAAAAATAAAAAAAGTTATAGGGGTGTGAGCCACTTTGAGACGCACCCGGTATATTAAAAAAACAATGTTAGATTTCAGTCAATGGCGCTATTTTTTCTGAAGTTAGAGCACTCAAATTTGGTAGGAGAGTTTTATAAAGATAAAAAAGATATACCTATCTACGTTAAATTAAAAAAAAATGTATTTGTGGAAATAAATAGGGAGATAAACGTAAAAATTTTGGACGTTTTAATTTGACAGCTAGATACATGAAATTAACAAAGAAATTCGTACGAAAATATAAAAAAATATTTATTAAAAAACATATTTTTTTAGCCGACTTCTCATTTACACCCTGTATACTCTCTCACTAGATAAACTATAGATTTACAATGATTGCACCTTTTATGACATACGTACAGTACATCTGCTGGATCTGTGTCTATGAAAGGAATGTGGACAAAAAACATTTAAATAAACAGCAATTTATTTTACACGTCGACTTGACGAGTACGTCATCGCAAATCGCTCCGCCCACTCATTTTATTGGCTACTTGCAAATTTATCGAATTTTTATTGATGGATTCATTGATCTATTTTTTTACGAAAAACATCGAGAAAATATCGTTTCCCCTCTCACGGATACCCCGTAGCTACAGAACGGACAGACGTACTGTATATAGATTTCAGAACAATAAACATGTTAACTGTGAATACAAAATTAGTTCTAATAAACTTAAACAAAAACTTCAATTCCATTTTACCGCTACATTATTAATAACTATCACTTAAACAATGTTTTTAAACTATGAAAATGTTAACATAGTTTTTCATTTAGCTAATAACAAACGCCACCGAAAATTTTCATCACGAATTGATTGATTTTACTGAGGAATAGTGAGTCAGCTTTACCTTAAACCAGTGCCCCGGTACTGTTTTGAATAATAATAATAATCAGGTAATCGGAATGCCACGTATAATACTGTCACTATAATACCTTAATAACAGATAAATAAGTATTATATAATATAATACTAAATATATATAATATTAAGGTACCTACATTATATCATTGTACTCAGGAGACCGAATTATTTCAAATGCTGAAATAAAAAATGCGGGTCCGTATTTAAAAAAATTAAGTTGACCTATGTTTCTCACGAATTAACAGCAAATTTGAAAATCTAAAAAAAATATCAGAAAGCCCTGATACAGTGGCTATGACATTGTGTAATTAGTTTTTTGATTTTCGAAAAAAGTCACCACAGGAAAAAATAAAATTGTTTTTCAAAAAAATCCGTTTTTTCCAAATAACTCAGCAATCGTTGAAATCTTTTAAAGGTTTTTAATGGCATCTTCGCCCCAATTTAACAATGTCCGTATCTATTACGGTTACCGAGATACCAATGCTCGTACCCCGAATTTGTAGCACCCTGTATTCGCACATTATTTTTTGGAAATAATAATTATAAAACATTCAATAATTCTTATAACACTACGCCACTGCTCTGAACAACATAACAAAGTTTACTTACAGATTCGCAGACCACAAAAGAATGCTAAGTAATTGTTTACAGTAATTGTTGTGATTCACTTGTAATAATTAATTAGTTTGGTTTCTGTAGAACAAGGCACGCAATTTATTGTTTTTAATATTTTTATTACTCAATACCTATATTTGATTGTGGCAACTAAATATTTCTTTAATGAATCTAAGCCATACTGTCATTATTGTTATTTGTAATCCAAATAAATAAAACAAAAAGTCAGGCTAGTTAGACCATTCAACGGAAAACAGTAGGAAAATAGCAAATTGAGTTCAGTCCCAGAAACACGCCTATGAGGTTTTTTCGCGAAAAAAAAAATTCGGAATTTTTTGAAAAAATTTTTTGGAATTTTTTTTAGTTTTTAGTTAAAAAACACAATTTTTTGATAATATGGCAACATAGGTAGTAGATTAAATTTACAAGAAAGAAAATCCAGAAAAGATCCAGTGTCAAAATTTGAGCAAAAAATCATTTTTTTTGGAAATTTTCAAAGTAAAATAACTCCGTTATTTTGGACTTATTAGAAAAACAATAAAGAGAAAATATGTTTCTTTTATCGAGATCTACCACCCCTTAAAATACTTGCACTTATTTCTGGGACACCCTGTATAGAAAAAAGAAACTACTTCAATCTTTTATTTTTATAAAATTCAATTAAAAATATTGAATTTTATTTATTTTAAAAAATCGGTCATCTATGATTTAAAACCACGATCTGTCTTAAACAGTTTTTTTTAACTTGCTTTGCCATCTTCAGGATAGAACCATGTTAAATAAGGAAGTTAAAAACATATTAGAAAAAAGAGGTACATGCTTGTAAAGGATTAATAACACCATTAAGTTGATTTATTATCAATTTAGTCCTTAGTATTTGTTTTAAATTAGGATTTATGCTTAAGTATTGTATATTAACGAGCTATTTAGATGTATATGCAGTTAAAACATTTCTTTTCAGGTTATTATATAGCTGTCATCCTTTTGGTTCTGAAAAGGAGTTCTGCCAATTACTGTTAATAATTAGTTTAAGTCTACTATAAGTAATCAATATCATTAATTAAAACTTATGTATTATGTATCAATGGTAAAATACCCAACTTTTGCAAATAAGTATATATTTGGTTTTAGTTCTGATTTGTACAAGACACCTTATAATCTATACTGATATATAAAATCCTTAAGTAACTGACATACTGATTAATCACGATCCTGCTCAAACCACTTAACGTAAGA